AAAACGTTGAAGAAGAAAATAAGATGAAAATTTGGGACATGGAAAAACTGTAGGGGGCACAGATATAATAGTGAGAAATTCCTAGGGAGTCTATTCTAAATTTACGCACTTGCTTTCCATTCAAGACTCCACCAGCGTCTCGCGCATCCCTTCGTTTCCCTCCTTCCAGCCTCCTCCTCCTCCCCAGTCCTCCCAAACCCAGAAAAAACTCTACTGTTCTTGGCTCCATTGATTCTCTGAAGATTTCTTAGATCAACCCTCTGCAGCAGCAACACTATATTAATCGGTCCTTGGCTGAGACGTAGTTCTCTCTCTCTCTCTCTCTCCCCTCTCCCTATCAGGTTAATTCTATAGGTACCACCACCATACTTTTTCTTTCAAACTACAGTATCAAGTTTAACTACATCCACCAATGTCGCCGTTGCTCCTGCTGCTACTGAAACAGCTTTTGGGCTTTGGTGCTTAAGCAATACTCTTGATAATCTGGCTAATTTTAGCTCAGGTATTGCACTCTATAGAATAGCTTATAACTGTCAAAGTTGGAAGGAATTAATTTTTCGTTTCGGGATAAATTTCTATTCTTCTTCCATTGAAGCTGGACTCTTCTGATTTCTACCGACCAAGAATTGCTGCAATAAATTCGCTTCTTAAGGACATTTCAATCCCAAAATCGATTAAGAATTATCGGAGCGGGTATTTGTCGTCCGGGGTGCGTGTGTAGTTCATCTATGTTTGTTGTTTTCATATCCGAAATGGGACAGGATGTTTCAAGAACTACTTGATTTAAATCCTCTTGTTTTCAGTAATATTTGTGGGGAGCATCCTGGGATTTGCCCTTTTTCAGTAAAATTGTTTTCAAGCCTGAAATGATAGATAAGTTTTACACTTTATCTGAAAGTTGGTGTTTTAATGACTGCTCATGAGAGCATCAGTGTCCATAGTCAACTTTGGCACTGCTGCTATCAAGTTGGTATCAGGTCTAGAGAAAAGATTCAGACTTTTGTCATCTTGGAACCTAGCTTTGTCCGCTACACATTTGTCTTCTTCTGAGGATGAAACAATCATACCTGAGGAAAGCCTGGTCGATATAGAAGCTCAGGAACTTACAACAAGTACTAAATGCATGCAGAGTGACAGCATAAAACATAATAGTAAGTCTGCTTCTTCTTTTGAAGGGATCAGAGATGATTATGATATTTACCATCTTGGCATTCAAGAAGATAGTTCCTTGGTTTGTGAAAATCCTCAAAATACTGATATGGATGTTTATGGACTTGGAAGAATGAAAGTCATACTTAGGAATCGAGGATGGGTTTTAGGATCTCCAGACAGTTGCCAAAGGTTACCTTTGGCTGAATATAACATAGTGTGTATTCTGAATGACCTGTTTGAGGGCAGTGGAGATGCTGCTCTAGCTCTAGCTTTCTTTCAATGGTGTGAGCATTACCTGCACTTACAGCATGGAATTAGATCTACATGTGTGATGATACATATCTTGGTTGCTGGGAACATGAATTATAGAGCTATAGATTTAATACTTTATCTTGTAAGGAAGAATGCTGGGGAAGATTGGTGGCCGAACTTGCTTTTACAAGTCCTTCTCGAGACCTATACAATTAGAACGGTCCTAGAAACTGTATATAGCATACTCATTGACTGTTATATCAGAGCAAATATGGTAAATGTGGCTCTCAAGTTAGCTTGTCAAATGAAACACATCAAACTCTTTCCTTCACCAGGGGTTTGTAATTCACTTCTTGGGGCATTGTTATATATGGACCAATTCGAATTGGCATGGAATTTCCTGGAAGAGATGCAGAGTCAAGGGTTAGGCTTAAATGTGTCTGTAATCACTTTGTTTATTCATAAATACTGTGTGAAAGGCAATGTTGAAAGAGGTTGGCAACTATTGGTAACAATGAAGCAACATGGATTTAGTCCTGATATTGTTGCATACTCAACATTGATTGATTCCCTTTCTAAAATGTCACTGGTGAGAGAAGCAATCTCTTTGTTGTTTAAATTGAGTTTGATTGGTATATCTCTTGATTCCATTTCAGTTAGTTCAGTCATTGATGGCCTCTGCAAGGTGGGGGAAGTGGAGAAAGCTTTCAATATCTTGAAGATATTTAGACTGCCACCTAATATTTATGTCTACAATGGCTTTATTTCAAAGTACTGTCACGATAGTAACATGACTGCTGCTTCTAGCACTTTTTACGAGATATCAGAGATGGGATTGGTTCCTGACTGTTTTATTTACACCACCATTATATCAGGGTACTGCAAGATGAAGGATCTGAAAATGGCCCTTATCTTTTTGGCAAAGATGGTGAAGAGTGGAGTTGAACCATCTGTTGCCACATACACAACACTTATTGAATACTACTGTAGGTCTGGAGAAGTACATGTAGCGGAAAACTTATTTCAGAAGATGATGACAGAGGGTTTGCCACCTGACCTTGTTGCATACAACACACTAATGGATGGCTATGGAAAGGAGGGCCTCTTACACAAGGTTTTTGGCCTTTTGGATATAATGAAGTCTGCTGGTGTCTATCCTGATAACATCACCTATAACACAATCATTTACAGTCTTACTGTGAGAGGGTTTGTAAATGAGGCTCATGATTTACTGTATGAGCTCACTAGAAGAGGATTTACTCCTGATATTGTAACTTTTACTAACATTGCTAGCGGTTATGTGAAGAAAGGGAACTTTGAAGAAGCTTTTTTTGTGTGGCATTACATGAGTGAGCACAATTTGGAGCCTGATGTTGTAATGTGCAGTGCTCTCCTTAATGGGTACTGCAGGACACGTAGGATGGCAGAAGCAAATGCTCTCTTTACTAAAATGATCGACATTGGGCTGGTTCCAGATCTTGTGTTGTATAACACACTCATACATGGTTTTTGCAGTGTTGGCAACCTTGATGACGCCTGCAACTTAGTAGAATGGATGTTCAAGCAGGGTATCAGTCCAGATGAAGGCACTCATCAGGCACTTATCTTGGGATATGAAAAGAAGATGGTAGAGAATCCAGTAGAAGCTGCAGGTTTTATGCTGCAAAGGATATCACTGAAATAGATTATTGGAAAACGATTATGGGATACAACAACACGGCAATCTGGCACCTTCGCAGGCCTGCAGAACATGGAAATTTTGGATGCACCAATGATTTGGTTTTCTTCACCACCTCCCCTGTGGTTGTTAGGTTTGTCTCTTTTCCACGCATTGCATAGTTTGTCTGGTTAATAATACTTCAGCTAACATGGACTATGGTTCTGTCTGGTTTTCTTCTTCAGGTAAACAGTCCAACCCTGTGAAGCAACGACAGAGCTCAAAGCTTTTGAGAAAATTAATAGCTGTTGAGTATGTTCAAGTTATCTTTTGAGAAATCTGTTCAGACATGTCTCATGGTTTTGAACTTTTAATACTTTGCTCATCTAGTAATAAGAATAATCCTTGAATACAAGTTATTCAAAGTTATAATGTGATATTTGGACTGATAACATTAGTACAAATACATGCTTGAAAGACTGCTGAATATCTCATTAAAAAAATAAAAAAAAAAGATCGAAAGATTAAATGTTGGAGTGGTTGAAATTGGCAATAATTTGTTAGGTTATTAGGTTTTGTTATCTGTTCGTGAGTTTTATAAGTTATTTCCTCTGGTATCTTCTCTGAGTAAGATTGTTTATGATTCTGTCTGGTTTGCTCTTAAGGTAAATTAGCAGCCTGTGTGAAACAGCAAGAGGGAATAAAGCCAAACGGGATTGCGTATGCAGTGGCTAGGAAGCTTTCTGAAACTCTGAAGCCCGGGAGATATGTCCTTGTATATTCTTCAGATATTTGTCCAGATATACTATTGAGTGGGCAAGGATCATGGCCAAGCGGTAGAGTCAGATGAGCCTGTATGGTGGTCTAGGGAGTTTGAAGTTCAGTACTCCCCTTCCTTCAGGAATAGAGCGATGAATTTCACTGTGTGAGTACTTGGAGCATTTAGTGGTGGTTTTAGCTCAACTGATTCCTTTTTTATATTGCATTTGTTGAGAGTCTGAAACCATCAATCGGGTCTAAGGTTTTTCATATTTATCGTTTTACTAATAGTTGTTAGATTTTTCTCCTTTTTATGCACCATGCACATTGTGTTGGTTCGTAGCACTTGTGTGTTATATGGTGTAAGGTTCTCTCCGGTTTAATTTTCAGGTAGACACGTGAGCCTGCAATGCAATGGAGGTAAACACATGAACCTGCGATGGAGCACAAAGCCAAGCATGCTCTTCTGTTTGCCAGTTTCGAAGCCGCGTAACATTTTACAGCGGGTGAGATATCTTCGAATCATCTATCGAGAAATCTTTTCAGATAGACCTCACAAGGAGCAAAGAGAACTGGCCATTAGTACCAAGCCTTACCTAGAGTAAAGTGTGAGGTTTGCAGCTCATGACCCTCCCCTCCCCGGTGGGAAAATAAAAGTACACAATTTCAAGATTTACCTTTGGACGCCATGTTAGGAAGAATTATCTGGAAAGCATTAGCGAAATTGCACCTCAACTTTTAAAACCTCTTTAGTGCTATAATCTTGTACGAGCAGCAATGCGTCTGTACAATCTTCAAAAGTTTGCCGAATATCCCATCGGGGAGAAAAAAAAAAAAGGAGGAACAATCTGAGAATCACAGAGAGCGAAATGTAACCCGTCATTCAGATTGGGCGTTCCCCAAAAGATGGACCAGAAAAAGGTTCTTGGGTTGGAGAACTACTTGACACTTTCCTGCACGTATTTGTCTTTCCACAACTTTTGGATGCCTTCACTTTCATCCGTCCAGGAAAAGTAATCCAAAAGAATCCAGCGATTTTCTTGTTTTTTCGACATCTATAGGATTAAGATTTTTCAAATTGGTTATTCAGTTCATTGGGACGTTAACAACTAAAACCATTTATTTAGTTCTTTCAAGAATATTGATGGCATTGCAGTTGAGCGGTTTAAAATCCTGTAAGTGAATCAGGGACTGCTGTGACGGGGATACGATTTTCGCCTCATCCTAAGCCAGATGAGATCGTATAATCTTTGGAAACATTATCACGTCTGTTATGGTACAGAATAAACATTTGTAGACAATTTTTAAAATTAGGAAAAGGTACAAAATTTTAGTCTTCATTAATAAAAGGACTTACATGTGCCTTTTCCATCTTCTTTCTCTAATCTTCTGCTCTACATTGCCATGATATTGTATCCTCTTCAGCAAACCAAACTCATGTACGAAACCTTAAAGTTCATCTTTGAGATCTTTACTGCTACTGTCGTCACTTGTGGTGGCATCAGAACCCTTAGGTTGGGTAGATAAGGCTGGCTTCTGAAGCTTGAAAGGATTGGTTGCGTGCTTCTTTAGGAACTTGTAGAAACCCACCACAGTACGATCTGTATCAACTGTAATCTGTATAAAACATGAGTAGAATACAAGCATTATTAGCCTGTATGGTTGAAAGAAAAACAACGAAAGAATACACTTTAAAATTAGCATAACAAAAGCCTAAACTAAGCACTAACTGGATCGAAGCTCTTATTGCCAGCCGGGAAGAAAAGAAGAGTAGGGAACCCATCAGCCTGCAAGTAACGAATAATCAAATCCCATCTCCAAAGCCTACTGCTATAAACTGTTTCACATACGGTTACTGAAATGCACAAGAGGTTGTTGAGCTGAAAGTTTGGTCACGCTTGAACAGAGAATCGAGCAAACCAAAAGAATTCATAGAGCCACACATTAGTTTGAAAAGTCTACAATGAGAACAAAAATGAAATGATTCTACACCTCAGTCAATATCCATAGTATTATCACGTATTCATAAATTTTGAGGGATTGTTCCGCCAAGTCTTTTTGTTACTGGAAAGCTTTAAGTTAGTTTGAAAGAAATAATCCCAGTGATCCACATAGAGACAGGATAGACGTTTGTTAAGATGATACCTTCGCCCTGTGGTGCTCATTTGTAGTCCCATCCATCTTGGCAATAACAAGCGAGTCAATGCCCCTCAAATGTTTGCCAAGCTTGTTATAGATAGGCTCGAGTGTTTGGCAATGCCCACACCAGGGAGCGTATATCTAGTTTTGAATATAGAAGTCATCACAAGAGACCTTTGGAACAGGTCAACAGTTTTTTTTTTTTTTTTTCGCTCAAAAAAAATGACAATAGAGGGAAATTGATACCTCTAAAAGAACATCTTTGGACTCGTCGAGAACAATTTCATCAAAGTTCTTGCCAACCACAATTTTGACATCCCCATCATTCTGCATCAATAGTAAAATGAGAGATTAAACTAGATATTCTAAATAATATACAAGTTTATGGCAATCTGAGTGAAAAAACTTACTTTTTCTGGAACTGGATCTGATTTGTAGAAAGGCTTAAGATCGTCTTCCAAGAACTTCTCCCCGAATAACTGCATGCTCATACAGCATAAAAGAATAAACTATGGAATGCAAATGCTTATCTGTTGAAATTAAGGATTTAATGTATCGAACAATTTATTGCCAAACCAATATATTCATCTTAAGAATTTCATGAACGAGTTAACAAACCTTAATGTTGCTTAGAGTCAAATCACCTTCCAATAAAAATTTCCTGGCATCCTCATTTCCTGTGTATGCGAGAACCTGTATTCAAGTCTCACTTTAAAAATGATCAACTAATTCTGTCAGGAAATGACAGGAACCAAAATACACTGGAGGGAGGCTTACTCTTGGTGCATCTCCTTGCACACCAAAATAGTCCGAAACAGGCTTCCCAACATCCTTGTTGTCCATTTCTACGTAAACACATAGGAGCTGCAGAGCAAGTAGTCATTCCATTTAAAATTGCCAAGACAAGTTTTCAACAGGAAATCAATAAGCATGAGGTGATAATACAATCAGATGTAAATGGGGAAAAGAACGAGCCTAGAACTTGTGACATGAAAGAAATTGCTTAGATCCAATAATGGGTAGAGCCGCAAGTAGCAAAATCTTTTTGAAGTGTGAAGTTTTCAATGTTTATCACACCAAATGGTAATTTTGATGCTTTCCTCTATCAGAAATGTTGCAAATATACCCAAACGCTACTCATAAAAACCATGATAAAAAATGACTAACAAACATAAGATGTTAAAATTTGCATGAAAATGAATTTAACACGATCAATATATTCTCTGCTGTTACAATTTTAGTTTCAATTTTTAAAGGGCCTTGAGATCTGACAGCATTTTTACTAAATAATTAACCAGAAGGGGATGCCCCAACGCTGTTAAGACAAAAAGAAATATGATGAAATCGTACATCCAATGTCATCGATTGAACAGTTTTATCTGAGGCAAGTGCACTTCCAAACTTTCACAAACTATGTGTCACCAGATGCTTATGGTATATCATCAAAATTTATTAAGCAAATTACCTTTCCTTTAAAAGCTTTTGCAGCCTCTTGGAATGTGGGTAGGAACTTCTCTGAATCATTTGCAGTTGCAAAAAGTAACAACTAGAAACAAAAATACATCAAGTGATCAAAAGCGTAGTAGTAAAAATCCATATATGGAAAACTAGCACGAGCAAATGTATCACCTGATTCTTGATTGGATTCTCAAATATCAGTGGGGCACTATCCCGAGTAAAGTTTGTGACCAGGGGAAGCTTATTCTTGTAAACAAATTCACTTATTGCTGATTTAGTAAACTGACCACCTGTAGAAAGAAACTCAGTGAAAGGAATTACACACTCACTCTTAATTTTCAAAAAAGAAAAGTCTAGAAACTGACTGAAGTGATTTATTTTTTCATCCTCTTTCTTGATGATCACCAAAGCTGGGCGTTTGACTTGGGGATCAATTTGGAAAAGTTTTGCTACGTCAGAGCTGGTAGTCTGGTAGAAATTGACATCCTCTTCAAGTTTTGAAGCTGCAGCTAATTCTTCACTGGCTGCACCCTGAAAATTATATCAAAGGCATTGTCAATAAGATAACAAATAATTGACCAGAATTAGCCATTGATATCCTTAATTTTAAAAAATTCAAAACCTTAAGAAATCAAGCAAAATTGCAAATTAAAATGAGGAATCAGAGCATAGAAGCTTATGAATAACCTGAAACTAACAAGCAAAGTTGGAAGCTCACTTGCTAATTATGGGTAATATGTGACTTTCCAAATTAACCCTTCAAATTTCAAATCCTAAATGTCAACTTGAAAATTCGAACATAAAGAAAGGGATTGAGATAGGTAGCACATTCCGTAAAAAGGAAAAAGAAAGTTCTCAAAATTACTAAAACCTTGTCAAATTCCAAAAAGCAAACTCACGCAATAAAATTGGTGAATAAAAAAGCAAACTAGAAAACAAAAACTGAGGATTTGCAAGGCTAACTAGTGAAATTACCACAAAGGCATCCAAAAATCCCAAAACCAACTTTGACTCAGTAGCCAAAATTTGTTCTGCTTCCTCGACTGTTGTAATGTTGTTTAAACCAGGGCCAATCTTCTTCTTCACCCAAGTCACAATAGCTTCTCTGGATCACAAATTTCAGGTAAGAGACCATCTGGATATTCACATAAACAAAAAGAACAATGGGATTACAAATGATTTGCGTTCTTCTGCACTCTTGACCATGACATTCCAATGAATTAAAGAACACCACCACACTGCATTTTCTAGTCTTCACTACATTATTGATAAAAAACAATGATTTTCATGTACAATTAGAATCATCAGGGACCAGGAATGGACCAGGCAAAACCGAATCAACGTTAGGAGAGTCTCGAAGCTAGAAGCCAGGTACTTCCCCAAGCAGGACCCATCAGAGCATTAGCCGGGTTGATGAGGACTGCTATTACATTGACTAAATCTGCATGCTTGTTACTATAGGTAATCATCAAACCAAATGATGATTCAAGAACTCAAAAGTCTCCAACTACTTCCATTGATCAAATTATCAGCTACACTTTAATCGACAGAATTGCTAACCTAATAACAGGGCACTTTTCCAATAATTTCACCATCGGGATATCAAAGAATAAATGCTAACTAAGAAACTCCAGAAATTCAAAAAAGAAAGACGCTTACTTGGTACGTTGACCGGGGTAAGGCGTGTGAATGCCGTCGACGAAGAAGTAAACTGTAGGAAAGCCCTGAATATCATACTTCTGCCCTAAATCGCTCTCCTCCGTAGCATCCACCTTAGCCAGCACCACCTTCTCCTCCTCCTGCTTCAGCTCCGTTGCCGCGGCTGCGTACTCCGGCGCCAGAGCCTGGCAATGACCGCACCAAGGCGCGTAAAACTCCACCATGACGTACTTATTCTTCGCTATAAAATCACTGAAATTGGACTCCTTTAACACCACGACGTCCGCCTCGTCAACCGCAGGCGGCGTGTACGCCTCGTAACCGCCGTCCTCGGCAGCACCTGAATCATTGTCTTCGAGATCGTCGTAGTTCTCGTAGTTGTGGTACTGAGCATAGGGATCGTGATGGGACGACGAAGCGGCGTCGTCTTCTTCCAGAAAACTGAGATCCTCGTCTTCTTCTACTTCAGAGCCTTTTCCTTTCTCCACCGTTTCTGAAGCAAACGACGTTGTTAGAACGCTAACGAAGAGAAGAAGGAGAATTGAGAAAACCAGAGCTGATTTGACAGCCATTGTTGGGGAGAATTTTGAAAATTTTGATGGGGACGGAGACTGAGACTGTGACTGTGAGGGTGGGAGCAGTGAATTATAGTATTGTAGTACTACAACTCTACAAGAGATTTCTCATTTGTGCAAAGTAAACGGAGACAGAGGTTGGTAGCGTGTGAGTGTGTGTATTTATTAATTATTACAGCAAGAGATTAAACGGTGGAGTTGGCGGATTTTGTGGGACGTGGGGCCGTTAGAGTGACGTGGCTAAAGATAACTGGTTGGGGACCAGCAGAAGAGGAATGGGGACATGACAAGTCGGCAAGATGAGTCACTGGGGTTTTGCCATTGTTGTTGTATTGTTGGGTTGACTTTTACTTTATAGTAGGATTGGAATTTTAGTAGATGTAGGCTTTGTTTGGGAAGCAAATTTTTGGTCAAAAAATTTTTAAAGTTTTTAAATTATATACTTTGAAATATTAAAAAATTTACATGTTTTAAAATTTTTTTTTTCAATTTTTATAGTAAGTTATAATAAAATTTTAAATAAACACCCAAAAAATTCACTTGCCAAACTCGTTTGCCAAAAAACTCACTTAAGCGCTTGTAAGTAAAGTAAAAAAAATTATTAAAAAATGTGTTCATAAAAAAGATAAAAAATTATCGTAAAAAAAAAGATAAAATGATTTCTTTTATGAAAAACTACAAAAATTAAAGACTTCCTACTTATCAAAGTAATATTAATCTTTATCAAAGCACTCATAATATTATTCAATGTATGTAAAATAAAAAAAGTTATTGACAAATGTGTTCATAAAGAAGATAAAAAAATTTCTGTTGTGAAAAACTGCAAACTGAGTTAAAGACTTCCTGCTTATCAAATAAAAACTAATAATCAGGCATAGTAAAAAATAAAATGTGGACATTTTTTTTTACAAAATCTTGACAAAAACTACTGTTATCCTTTTGTGATTTTATTTTGGATTTTTTGAAAATATTTCTTTAACACATCTCCTAGAAGTTTAGTTCATGAATCTTTGATGTGCAGCAATTTCTTTCAAAATCAATAAAAATATTTAATCCACATTGGTTGAAAGGAATTTAAGGAACCATCCCATCAACGAATTAAAGTCTTGGGGATATGAGATGAATCGTCTGCATTTTGACATGATGACTGGGTTAAATAGTTGAAGAATTCCATGGTGGAGAGAAAGGCAAAATAGATTGCTGAATTCATGGCAAGAATCAGGTTATCAGAATCACAGCTGACATATTAGATTCATTGGAACCCTCGTCTTCAAAGAATTCACGGAATAGTTTTTGGGTACAACTTTGGGTCCGGACATCAATTAGACCCATACTTTCCCCAGAATTCTGAGGGAAAGAAAGAAAAAGAGATCAACTGTTATGTCTCAGCTTTAGCAGGGGGTGCACGCTTTGCAACAGGGCACAGGCTCCAGAGTAAGTTTCAAAAATCACCAGCTATGAAACTGCAGTTGACAATCAAGCAGCTCCCTCAGCTAACTCTTTCTTGATCGTTTTTAACATGTCCAAAACCTGCATGGTGCAGTCATTTAGACGACAGACGCTAAGTAAAACTTGCAGGAGAGGAAAAAGAGGCAAAAGAAAGCAGTGCAGGAGTGAAGTAAGCCTTATGTAGTGTTTCAGTATCTTACAAAGCCCAGCATTTATGCAAAACATAATTCTGCTCACCCCAAAATATGGAGACAGAACTGTTGAATTTTGGCGTAGTATCAGGTATATGTTCTCCAGTAGGCATAGAAGTCTGTCCACTTGATTCCCAAGTAAATCAACCTGTACAAATGAAGAATTCGCTGGTCTGTTAAGAGTACAAAACATTCAAGGCTCATTGTAATCTTGAGGCTTTTTTTTGTAAAATTCTAATGATATATTCGATTATAGCACAATATAGTGAACAAGAAGTAAGTTCTGTTTCAAGTCAAGCAGCAGCCAGTTTTTGAAAAATTCACTTGTGCTTTCAGCTACCTCAGTTTCAGCTAATTGCAAATTGCGGGATCTAGTTATGAAAGCCTTCTTGTAAAGCGACTTCTTTTTTCTTATCGAGGCCGCAAGGTGAGCTAATCCATTTGTTTGACGCTTCAGCGTCTCCACCCTGGAAACAGATTTTTAAAGTCTCATAAGCTTTCTCATGATCCTAAGATACAAATGCTTTCCAGCAGAAGAATCAATTTACCTAAAGACAAAAATATTTGCAATAACTCTAAATAGTAGTAGAGTACCATGATACTGGTTGAAAATTTTGAAGATAAGAGTTAGATACCTCAAACAATACGATTCTAACTTTTTGTGCACCATTTGCTCAAAATCCACTACTAGTCGCTGAAATCCCACGACAGGCGAGAAAACAGATCGATTTTGTTGATTTTCTTCTTCATAGGCGTACTGTCCTTCGGAGTCAACCCCCTCTGTAGGATGTATCAGGGCTTGATGATCATCTTCTTTTTGGTCTTTGGCTATGGAGCCTGAACTATTCTCCATATGTGGTACCGATGCCTTGCTTTCAAGCAATTTATCTGATGATATTTCTAATAATTCGCTCTCTGTACCGAAAGTTCTCTCAACATCATATGACAGTAATTCCATACTGTCATCCTCAGCCACCTCAACACAGTGATCTCTGAGTTCCTTTGTCTGATTACTCGTGTTCACAATTTCCTCTATGTTGCAGTTCCTAGAGTAGGAGTCAGGCTTTTCAATCAGGGTTTGCTCTGGATGCATATCCAATTTTGTAGGAGGAAAATCTTTAGAAATTTGCACCTGGTTCCATGTTTCAGATTGTCCAATGGTAACAAAGAATTCTTTCACCAATGCAACCAAGACAAACTGATATATCTCGTCTTTAATAAGTATCTCAATGTTATAAGCATCTATTTCTGTTCTCAGCCTATTGAAAAGCTCTCTAAAGTACACGATATAAATGTCCTCTTTTAATAGGCTGCCTACAGTCTCTGGTACCTTGTCACTGCTGTGGAGGTTATCAATCAAGGTTTCAAAACCTTCAATTTCTATTTGAAGTTGCCTTATAACCAAATTGCCGCTCTTCTCAATACATTGCAATGTCTCCCCAAAGACGACTTCCATCAGCTCTTGCTTCACAAGGTAATCATCAGCATTTTGTTTGATGTTCGTATCCAATTCAATAACTGTTTGCTGAAAGTAGACTGCATATACATTCTCCCTTATAGAGCTTTCCAGGTAATGCTGCAAAATTTCACATGCAGTTTCTTCTTCAGATTCGCCTGCCTTCTGAATTTGAAGATCGTCTATTTTGACTCCATGATGATCTTCGGAATCATTCACTGACAGATTATGACTATCACCTCTAATGAGGCTCTCGTTGTTTTCATTCAACAACTCAAGGTATAAGCTTTTTGCAAAACCTACAAGAATTAATAAGAAGATTTCCTCAATGATGAAGCTCTGCAATTTCAGATCGTCCCTTTCTTGCTCGAGTTTCCTTATTTCATTACTCAAGTCTACACCACTTCCTGCATTTATGTTCTCATTAGCTGTTCTATCAATCTTTGTCAAACTTGTCTCCAAAACAGCTGTCTTATCACAAAATCCTTTATTATATCCTGGATTACCATCCCACATCATAAGATTGTCCAGTCTTTCAATAACTTTCCGTATTCTGCTTTCCAGTTCATCAGGATCCTTGTCTCTCTTAATTGATGAGGGCCCCTGCCTTCGTAGAACTTCTCTTGCTAGCCAATTCCACTCTTCACATTTACGCTGTTTCTGAATAAAGGACTCATGATTCTTTACCATCTTTGCAACATAGTGGCTTCCTCCTGGATCTGAATCCTTCTCAGGAACCTTAGGCGAAACTTCTGGTAAAGGCTCACTGGTTGTTCGCTTGATTGATGATGGGAAACCCGAAAGCTCATGCATTTCGAGTCCTTTCTCCTCTATCCTACCCTGACTGCACAAGGCACTTAGTTCATCGTGCAAGGCTCTTGCATTATTGATCAATTCTGTCCATTTCTCCCTGCTGAAGCCAACAGGAAGAGACCAGCCTCTCTTCTCAAATCCTGTTTTAAAATTTTGTTGAATGTCATTTATGAAGCCCTTAACTGAAATCACAATTACATCTTTCTCAATGCTCCACGTCCACTGCTTCTCTAGTGGAAACACCTCAGCATTTCGCATCCTCCCAAAGGCGAGATCCAAAGTTCCTTTCAGAATATCTATGTCAGAACTCATCTGCTGAATCATCACGTTGTTCTTTCCAGGGTTTATTGAATTTTTCAGTGACTTGAATCCTGAAACATGGTCGTGCCCGAAAACCTTGTCTTTCATCCATCCAGAACCTGTATGTATATCCTCGTCGAAGAGTTTGGAATAAAGTTCACTGTCGAAAGACCTGGAACTTCTACCTCTAATCCTTCTTGTCAAAGTTTTTCGCTCATCCTCCAATTTCTGCTTGATATTCAAAACTTGCTGATCCACGGAACTCTTCAATTCACGAATATCACCACCTTGGGCTCGATCATCCTCAATTTCTTCACTGCTTGGAATATAATCCGGGAGGTCTGCACCCTTTGTTCTCTCAGTCTCTAGTTTCTCCCGTAAGTAAGCCAACTCTCTGGCATTTAACTCCGCTGCACGCCGAAGCTTCAACTCATTCTCTACCCTCTCCATTAGTTCCTTGTCTTTCTCAATTATCAAAATCCTCATTTCTGCAATGCGTCTCTGGAGCCAGTGTTTGATTTCTGTCAAGTCAGAAAGCATTTCCTCGCGGTTTGTTTCTTGAATATCTTCCTCTTCTTCAACAATGTTGAGACTACCATCCACAAGAATTGCTGCCAATTCATAAAATTTTGATCTCTCGTGAAGAAATTCAATAGGTCCATTTTGAGACTGAACTTTTTCATGCGCTTCATCCATAGCAGATCTCAAAAGCCTCATCACTATTGAGTCTGACTTCGACCTGCAATTGATTTCTTCAAAGAGGTCATCCATTCTTAAAATTAGAAAAAGAGACCGGAATAATTCTTGAGCAAGTTCACAGCTACATTAATTATTTCTTTAGCACGGTATATAACACATAGTATATGTTAAAATTGAACTGTACAAGGGCAATTAAATGGGTCTCCAAAA